CTAAGGATTCCTATAGGAATCCTACGGCATCCTGTAGGACCCTGTAGGGATCCCATAGGAATCCTATAGTACTACAGTCGGATTCCGATGGAATCCTGCAAGACCCTGTAAGGATCCGATAGGCTTACGATAGGAATCCTACGGCATCCTGTAGGACCCTGTAGGGATCCTATAGGGCCCCCCGCGGATTCCTATAGGGTTGCTATGGAATAATCATGTAGGGGTCCTATAGGATTCCTATAGGAATCCTACGGCATCCTGTAGGACCCTGCAGGGATCCCATCGGAATCCAATAGTATTACAATCGGATTCCTATGGAATCCAGTAGGGCCCTGTAGGGACCCTATAGGATTCCTGTAGGGTTCCTATGGAATCCTGTAGGACCCTGTAAGGGTAGGGGTCCTATAGGGCCCCCCATCGGATTCCTATAGGGTTGCTATGGGATCCTGTAGGACCCTGTAGGGATCCCGTAGAATTCCCATAGGAGACCTATGGGATCCTGTAGGATTCTGTGGGAATCCTATCATATTCAAAAAGACTTCCTACGGAATCCTTGACAGGGGTGCGCCGAAATCAAATTTCGGTGGGGTTCCCTGAGCCACGATCCTCGAGAGGGGTGCGCCGAAATCGAGCCTCGGTGGAGCTCCCTGTGGGGCCATGGCCACGATCCGTGAGAGGGGTGCGCCCTTTAGGGCCTGTATGGGACTCCGCAGCAGCCCCGAAAAGACCTTTCGAGCAACGCCGCCGGGCCCTGCAGACCCCCGCAGTGGCCTGGCGAGGCCTCGTGGCGTTGCTCGGACCAGGGGCCCTGCGGGGCCCGTGCGTGGCCCCGTGGCGTTGCTCGGGGGGGGGTCGAGCAACGGGCCTCCAGTAGTGTCCTCGCGAACAACAGCAACAGCAACAGCAACAGCAACAGCAACAGCAACAACAACAACAACAACAACAACAGCAGCAGCAGCAACAACAACACCAACACCAACACCAACAACAACACCAACACCAACACCAACAACACCATCAACAACAACAACAACAACAGCAGCAACAACAACAACAGCAGCAACAGCAACAACAGCAACAACAGCAACAACAGGAACAACAACAGCAACAACAACAGCAACAGCAACAATAACGAACAAGCCGAATTCTCACTACGAATTCCATATTCACCCACGCACCCAAGGACAATGAATGACCGTTCGGCCCCGTCACTCTGACAATAGCAAATACGGATGAGGCAGGGTGGAGTGAGGAGGCAGGTAATTAGAAGAGAAGGTGAGTAAAGCGGTTGGGCAGGATGCGGAGGCGGCGGCAATCAAGGATGGGCCGAAAAGGGATGAGTACGACAGAGCGGCGAAAGTGCCGCCCCAGCCACAGGAGGAGCAGAGGGAGGGGGGGGGACGAGGAAGAAAGAAAGAGGATGGCACGACGACGAAGGAGGGGATGACGGGAAAACGACCCCCGTCCATTCTTGAAGCTGCTGCAGGCGTGACGCACGAGTGTGCGCGGCGTTCAGGCGAGAGCCTCGTGAGCGTCGTTTTGACTACTGCAAACGTTTGAGACGAATGTGTGAAGCGCCCAGGCGACAGGCCCCCCCATCCACCCCTGCAACTGATGCAAAGTTCAAGTTTCAATACCATGGTACCATGATCGGCGGTGGACAAGCCTCCCTTTAGTAAATCTCCATTTAGTGAAAACGGCCTAGGGCCTAGGACCGAAACCGACGGACCTGGACCCGCAAAGATGACGGCCGCGACGCCCTCTCGCGATCCGAAAACGGCCAATTCGCTAATCGACGTGTCAGGGTAGGAGGTCTGTCCCCCCCCGGCATGAGTTGAACGAACGCACGGCCCGCCCCACCAACTGCTGGTCGCAACAGCGCGGATCCACGCCGCGGTCGGAGGCAGCCAAGGGTCGCCCAGCCAAGACGTGCAGGGGTGCAGCAGGGAAGGCGATCCATGAGGACGAGGGATGGAGAATCGGGGGGGGCGAAAGGGTAGGATAGCAAGGGTAGTGTCGAGAATCAGCTCACGTAGCTGATTTTCCTGGTGCCTCCTGGCGCCAGGAGGCGCCCGATGCATCGAGGAAAAAGCTAGGCGGCGGGGCCGAAAACATCTGCGTGCAGCAGATGTCGTAATCCCACCTTGCCCTATCCCCCCCGTCTGGTTCGGCGCGTGAGAAGGAGCAGGCGGGGATCAGAAAGGGGCCCTGGCGACCCACAAAGGCAACAGAGGGAGGGGAGGCGGTGGCTTTCTGAGGGGCAGGGAGGGGGAACAGCCTCGCAGTGTAGGGCGAGGCCACCTTCGGCCAACGTCTCGCGCGTCCGCCAGCAGTGTGACACCCATGACGCCAACGTCGCGCAGCGGCGCCAGAATCGAGGAAGGGAAGGGCGAGACAGCCTCGGAGAAGGATGTCTGTCAGGGGCCGAACTCTGCTTCGGGACCTGTCCCGGGGTGCGCTCTTGAAGGGGTCCTGGGACACACACATAAATAGGCACACCTCCTAGGGAGTTCAACCAGCCCTCTAGGGCGTAGGTGGTTTAGGGTGTTTCCTCTTCCACCCCCTTTTTCCCCTTCGGGGAGGGGTTTATCACTGATCCCTATTAATATGCACCCCCTCCCCCAGGCGACTGGGAGCCGACCCGAGACCATGCAGGCCCCCCACCACCATCCCTTTGTAAAACGCAACGCGCAACACCACACTCTGCCTCCAAGTTCGGAGCATGCGCAACGAACCACCCGATGCGGCCTCCCCCCACCATCTCTGTCAAAAAAATAATACAGAGTACACTTGGCGGGGGCGGCGGCGGCTGCGGCGGTTGCGGCGGGGGCAGCGGTTGCGGCGGCTGCGGCGGTGGCGTCGGCGGTGGCGGCGGCGGCGGCGGCGGGGGCGGCGGCGGCGGCGGCGGTGGCGGCGGCGGCGGCAGCGGTGGCGGCAGCGGCGGCGGCGGCAGCGGCTGCCGCGGCGGCGATTCGGCAGCGGGGGCGGCGGCGGCGGCGGCGGCGGAGGCGGCGGCGGCGGGCGGCGGCGGCGGCGGATTCGCCCCCAGTAGTTGCCCATCCAAAGACGACTGCTGCATACGCTGCGGCTCGGGCCAGGCTCGGGTGCTACGTGTGTGTTGGGCGGGCGGGCGGGGGTGAGCGAGACGGCTTGCGGGCGGGGGGGGGTCTTGACCCGGACCTGGACAGGGCGTCTCGCGAGCCGTCGGAATGTCCAAAACGGCCTCGGCTAGGAAACCCGAATCATTGGTTCTACTAGGGTTTGGGCCCCATTGTGGCCTCTTGGGGGGGGGCAGCGCTTATTGAGGGGCCCCCCTTCTTTGATCCCAAGGGTGCCCGAAGAGGGCTCAAAGGTGGCCAGAAGGCCCCAAGAGGCCCCCAGAATGCCCCCAAGAGGCTCCCAAGAGGCCCCAAAGAGGCCCCCAAAGGCCCCCCAGAGGCACCCAAGACGGCCTCGGCGACAATGCCAAAATCACTGTTGTTACTAAGGTTTTGGCTTAAGGTTTTGGCCACATGTTGGCCTCCTGGGGGGGGCACTGCTTAAGATGACTCCAAGAGCGCCTGGGGGAACCCAAGATGACCTCCAAGATGGCTCAAGATATCCCTGGATGCCTCAAGATGGTTCCCATGATGCTCCAAGAGGCCCCACGACCGCTCCAAGACGGCTCCAAGTGGCCAAAGAGCTCCCCCAGGAGGCCCCGACAGGGGCCAACATCCTTCCAAAACCTTGCGGAAATCAGTGTTTTTGGTTTTCTCGCCTTTTCGCTTCCGATGGCCATCCGAAGCCTCAAGATGGTTCCAAGATGGCCCAAGAGGGACTCCAAGAGCGCTCCCAAGGCTCCCAAAAACGCTTCAAGAGGGCCCCAAGAGGCGCCCAGGAGCCCCCAGGAGGCCTCAACAGGCGCCTTAAGAGGCTCCCAAGAGACCCCCAAGAGGCCCCAAGAAGCTCTCCGAGGCACCCAAGACGCTCTAAGAGGCGACCAGGACCGCAAAGAGGCCTCCAAGAAGCTCCAAGAGGCCTCCATTGGGGGACCCTTCCTGTGTGCTGTCTACTTCCCCAATCGAGGCAATTCCTCTGGGCATCTTTTCTGGATGGGCTGGTGGGAGTACTTATTTTTTTCGCAGCAAGAGGCGAGCGCGTCAAAAGCGTCGGTGGAGTAACACGGGCCGCGAGTACCCTAATTGCCGGCGCGCGAGCGAAGCAAGCAGCCGAATCCTACCGCTGAGGGAGCTGCGCTGGAACTGGGCTGCGCCGGGGGGTGGAAGCTGCCAGCTGCGAGCGCGGCTGGGATGCAACGTGCGAGTACCATGGGAGCGAGATCGCCAAGTACAGGAATCATCTTGTCGCCACTGGGCGCCAGTCGAGGCGGACAGAGTGCACGGCCAAGTGACGGGCGCCTCCACCACTGTAGATGAGGACGAGCCACAGCGCCAGTGTCGGAGAAAGGGCTAGACGCGTCAGAACCGACGGTGTCTGGGGACCAGGGTCCGGAGGAGCGCAACCACAAGCGCCGGAGCTGGTCAAGGCGCGTGAGCCGAGGGCGCCACGCGGGGGCCAGTGCCAGGGAGACCACGCCAGGCCATGGCAGGGTCAGGGCAAAGGCCAGAGGGACAAACACGGTCGAGCCGACCGGTGCCTGGGGACGAGGGCCCGGTGTGAACGCACGGTAGACGTCACGAAAGGGCCAGAGCCGGGGAACCCACGCCAGGCCTAGCTGGAGGGGTTCACTGATGGGGTTGCGCGAAGCGTCTAGAATTTGTCGTTCTTTCTGGATTTTCGTCTTCCCTCCCACTCCCCAAGTTTGCCCATCTTTTCCTAGGAGTCGACGATTACTTGCGTCGGTGTGTTTGTGTCCCTTCCTGAGCTTTCCAGAACTTCGACGCGGATCCAGCTGTGGCGACGAGAAGCCGGGGCGACAAAACGCCCAAGAACTTTCGAGCCCCGAACTTCGAACCCTCGAGGCCAGAAACGGCGCGCGAAGGCGGCCGGGGCGGCGCGGCCGGGGGCAGAGGCTCCAAGTCCGGCTTGCCCCCGACGTCGGTGCACTTCCAGTCCTGCCGGCGCGCGCCAGCGCCAGTGCGTCCGCTGGCACCGTTTCTGCCCGCCGCCCCTCATCGCAGGGGGGCGAGGTGGGTTGGCCCCAGAGGCGGTCAAAAAGGCTCACATGAAGCCCTCGGGGTCGGGCTCTCCTTCAAAGTCGGAGTCCGACCCAGCAGAGGCTCGATGGATCGCTTGACGCCCCAGCATCTGCACTCGTGGGCGATCGGCAGGAACAAGGACCAGCGACACCGCCACCACCGCCGCGACCCTCCCCGCTCAGGGCATCCCCGATCCCCAGCAGTGGGGAGGGAGGGGGGGGGCGGAAGGAGGGGCCCAGACATCTGACGATACTGTGCTTTTCACCTCGGCGTTCCTCCTCGATTTTGGCCTCTGGGGGACCTCCCAGGGCCACGGGACCACCAAGATGGATCCAGGGCGGAAAACTATCCCTGGAGAAGAGGTCGGGACCTCGGGGGCCGCGCATTGAAGCATCATATGGTAGGATGTCTGGGTGGGAGGAGAAGGTATGGGGGGAATGGAGGGACGGGGAGGGAGTGAGCGCCTCTGGTGCACATCTCTCGGGCGAAGGGATTCGGATGCAAGGGCCTCGAAAGGCCATGTCGACCCTTTTCGAGCGGGGCGCGGCCAGCGAAGGTGGTCACGGATGGGCCGACAAAGAATACTGCGAAAAGACCCTTGGAACATTGATCATCCTTATCATCCGTGTAGAGCTGTGGGGGAGCGGGGCCCGGCGAACACCGTCACGAGTTCGAAAGCGGGGGATCAAGGATAGCCACGGTGTCGAGGTGCCTGGTGTGGACCACACGGCGATGCTCTATCTCTAACTCACCGCATCCGCTGGCCAACCCCCCCTGCTCACCCCATGCCCTTTGATGATCTGGTCGCAATCTGGGCCCCACGGGGTGGCATCCAAAAGAACCGCGGACATGCTGGTGCAGTAGTCCGCAATTGACTTCTCGCGAATTGCCAGCAGTGTCCCTGGCTGGAGGTGCACCCGAGATCTCCAGGGAGGCCCCCACGGCCTCCAGAGCACCCCCCCAACGAGCCCAGGGAGCCCAAGGGGTTCCAAGCATGGAGGGGAAAGCTGGGGGTACCTTCGGCCAGAAACACCTTCATGGAGGCCTCTTATAGGGAGCAGAAAATCCACCCTTCTAATAATCATCCCGACACGCGAGGTCGTTTAGTAAACGCACCCAAGGAAGGAATCGAACAAGACAGGGTTGTTTAGCAAACGCCCAAGGCCGTTTAGTAAACGCCACTTATCGGATCCTGGTGGTTCTTCCTCCCTTGATGCTAGATGGGGTCGGAGTAGATGTGGTCGGAGGATCGCGACGCATCGTCATGCATCTGCAATGCATCGACGATGCGCGGGCGACGTCGGCGATGCAGCGGCGACGTCTGCGCGAAGCAAACCAGGCTCCACATCATGCCGAATCGGCGATGCATCGGCAATGCGGCGCGATCCTCCGACCCCATCTGCTCCGACCCTATCTGGGAGGCCTGGACTTCAGCAGCCTCCGAATCTTAAGAACTTAAGACGAAGTGGAAATCCGGACGAAGATCTATTCGGGCGAGGAGATATCGAGAATCCCCGAGATCTGGCGGCTCTGAAAGATGTTGTATCGGACGCCGCGGCCCTTTCAGAACCTCGGAACGCTCTCAGAGCGTTCCGTAACGCTTTGGAACGCATTGATTTTCGTTTCAGCACCGTTCGAAATTTTCTGCACAGAGGTTGGCGACACCCGTCTCCGGGACAGGTGCGCAGTTCGGCTTAGGTCAGGCATGTCCTCCTACGGGTGGACCGTGAAGAAACATAAACAGTCGTCAAACATGACCAAACATGGTCAAAAGAGCACGAAGAATCGCCACCAGACAATTTCTCTACCACTCTTGAAGTTCCTCATGTAGAGGGACATGCCCGACTTAATGCGCTAGGCTGCAGAGATCGGCTCGGGCGGCTCCTCACGAGGATTGGGTCGGGCGTGTCCCCCGACAGGGGGATTTTCGACCACAAAATGCTCAAAATGTCGTCCCCTGACTATTCTTTACCATTCTTGAAAATTCCTCCTGTGGAGGGACAGGCCCGGCTCAACACGAGGAGACGGGGTGGGGCCGCTCCCGCGGCGGCCTCGGCCTCGTGTTCCGATGCCTGGAGGGCGCGAGAGCTCCGCCCCCTCGCGGCGGCTTCTGGAGGGAACGCCTCCGGGGACATGTGCCTCGAGAGCGGCTCGGCGGCGAGCGAGGGAGGGGAAACGAGAAGGAGAAGGCCTTCTCAGAAGGCTCGGAAGCCCCCCGGCCTTCTGAGAAGTTTGCTGGGCCTTCCCCGAAGACGCAGAAGACTTCTCAGAAGGCGCGGGGGCTTCTGTAAAGTCCCGCCGCCTTCTGAGAAGGCCTTCTCCTTCTCACTTCCCCCGCCTCACTCGCCGCCGAGTCACAGGAAGCGTACCCGAGAAACCAGAGGGGGGGCACTCCGCCCTTTGCCGCGAGGCGAGACTGGGGGGGTCCTTCTTCTCCCTCCCGCTGAGTCATGAGGAGGCGTTCGACCATCCCCTGCGGGATCCGGCATTCGCGACTGGGTCTCTTACTCGTCGCCCACTTCCCCACCCCCCCCACACCCCACCTCGCCTCCCACCGGGGTGCCCCGAGGGGGCCGCAGGGTCCGAAACGCCACCAGGCCGCGGCCATAATGCACTGCCGCCTGCTGCGGAGGGACACATCCCGAGGCTCCTCCTTCCGGGACGCCCCTGTGCGCCTCCATTCCTCTCCAGGGCAGGTGGGGGCGGGCGTCAAAGGTCGAGCCCTCCACCGGGGGGGGGGGAGGGGACGCGGCCAGTGCAGCTGCCAGTGGCGCAGGAGCCCTCGAGGCGCCAGGCTGGCGAACGCACTTTTGTTTCGAGTCGGATCCACATCCGAGCGCGGGGAGTGAGCCTCAAGAGAGACAGACGGACTGCCCGTTGAGCTGCTGTGATCGAACCCGCGGGTCCTGGCAGTGGTCCACAGCCCCTGGCCCTGGGAGGAGCGGAGTTGGCGGTCACTCCCAGCATCACGGGAACGTAGTTCCTGTCAAACACATCAACCGCATGGCAAGAATACCTGCGATTCGCATGGCAAGTGGGTCATGGTCGTATGTTTTTTGTTTGGGGAAGAGGGTGGTAGAGGAAAGGAAAGACCCGAACACCTGTCGAGTAAACCATGCATTCCATGGCCAACGCGGTAAAGACTAACCAATTACACTATTTACAACAACATTCCAGAAGCAAAACAACGACGGCGAGAGGAGGAGAGCGGAGGAAAAGGAGGAGAAGGAAGGAGAGAAACGAACTGGCCAGGCCTCAGATCATGGTCGTGGGCTGCCTCTGCCTCTGGGGAAGGCTTCAGCTGCCAGAACATAGGGCACACGTTGCCTGATGCATACAGCCACATTCCACTTCTATCCGACCTCCCGATTCGATGCTGACTGATCTTTCTCGCATAGAACACCCGTCTGCGGCGAGCCCAAGGGGGAAGTGAGAGGGGGACGCCTCCTCAGAAGGCGGCGGCACTTCACAGAGGCCCTCTGGCCTCGTGAGAAGTCCCCTGCGGCTCCAGAGCAAGCTCGGAAGGCTCCTCAGAAGGCCGCAGGCCGTCTGAGCTTTTATGGGGAGGCCCCCTCAAGAGGCGCTCGGGGCTGGCGGCCCTCCGATGTGCCAGGACGGCCCGCCCGCCGCGCCAGGGAGCCGAGGAGGAGGAGGGGAGGAGGGGAGGAGGAGGGGAGGAGGGGGAGGAGCCAGGAAGAGGAGGAGACAGGCGTGCCGGCCGTGTCAAGCAAAATTGTCTGACAGACCCGTCTGCCGTGCCCAAGAACTCGTCAAGCAGACGCGCCTGGCCCAAAAGCGAAGGAGGAGGAGGAGGAGAAATGAGAGGAGGGAGGGAAGGAGAAATGGAGGGAGTCGCCTAAGCGACCACGCGCTCCTCCTCCTCCTCCAACTCCTCGTCTTCGTCCTCCTCCTCCTCATCCTCCTCCTCCACCTCCTCCTCCTTCTCCTCCTACTCAAGACTGGTTATTCTTATATCCTCTTGTGCTGATTTTGTGACGTCCGCCACCGCATTGGCGTGCGTTGGCCTCCCAAGCTGCACCGAGGGCCGAATCCGTGGGGGTCTCAAAGTTACGCACTCCCTGCGGGCACCTCCCGATCCCAAGAACAAGCCCTGTCCAGTCCTCCTTCTGGCGCCGCCGGGGGGGGGCAAGCCCGGGGGTCCTGCCCGTCCGCCTGGTCGACGCCTGCGCGGCGCGCGCGGGTCGATGACGCTCGACGACTGCGATGACAACAACAGCAGCAGCAGCAACAACAACAATCATTCTAAGACTGTACGCTCTTACTGGCACGCGTGTTTTTCATTCTGTATACCCAAACCCTCGATACCCGCCCACTTGTCTTCGATCGCACTCCAGTTCGGGGGGAATATCTTCCTTGTCGGCCACTGGCTGAAGTGCGAGGAACTCTCAAGCGAGAGCGCCGTTCCTGAGTTCAGGGGCCTTCCTCGCCAGGGACTCTCGGAGTACATCGTGAGGAAGTATCGAGGCCATTACTGGGTTCGGGAGCCTCTCTGGCCAGGGTGTCTCGGGGTAAAATATGAGGAAGCATCGAGCGGGAGCTTGTCGTCGTAGCTGGGCCTCCAAGGGCCCACTTTCACACGCAAGCCAACGCTTGAGCGGGAGCCTCGTTTTCAGAGAAAATGAAGCCCCCCTCGAAGCGAGAGCGCCCGGAACCGTTTCCGGAGATCAACAGTAAATGATTCTCTAGCAAGGAGGATTTAACAGCGGCCTCTCGGGGGCTCGGGGTTCCCGCGGGCCGCCTGCAGGCCCGTTCCAGCGTGCTGCGTGCTCCTGACCTGGACGAAGGGGCGCTGCCCTCGGTCCAGGACCTCGGCAGGCTTTGGGCCCAGAAAGCGGCCGAATCTCATGCCGAGGATGATTCCCAGGCTTCCGACAACGAGGGGGCGTGAACTCGTT